AATGCTTACTGTTTCATTAATACATAGTACTATTCATAAATAATTCCAAAAAAAAGCAAACTTAAAAAATAGATTTATAATGTCATTCCAACATTTACAAAATCTAATATGCTTTTTATAGATTGCACAAGAATATAACAACTTTATTATCTTTCTCTCACTCATTTCTTCATCTTTTTTTCTTCTTTTCTTAGAAAATACATAATTTATTCTAAAAAAAAGTATGGAAATTAAACAAACAAATAAAGGAAAAAGTACGACTTACCATTATATAATGACGTCGCTCTAATTCTGTACTGAGATCAAGAATTGCATCAACATCAATATCAATATTATCCTGAATTAATAAGAAAATATTTGACATAATTAAAATGAATAGCCAATAAAATTGAATTATACATTTCAGTAATATACATTTAAAAATTGGCTGTTCTTTTTTTGCACATTATTTTTATAAACGATCAGGAATATTAATCAATAGAATGAAAAGTAATCAATAAGCCGGAATTTCACTCTATGTAATCGAGAATTTCATCCATATACTTCAGAATAAAGCAATGTTAATAAAGATTTTAAATTATTTGTAAAATTTAGAAGAAGATTACCGCAGCAGATTTATAAAGTTCATTTAGTTGGTCATCAATCCAACTTTCTACATTCATTCGTTTCTTAATTAGCATCATTTGATGCTTACCATATTTCATCGTTAGCATACGACTTCGTTCATTTGTCTGCAAAGTTAATCATAAAACTGACATATATTAAATACACTAATTGAAGTTTTGAGTTTATTATGTTTGAAAAAAGAAATCGGAAAAAATGAACAATTATTTGCAACCTTCTCTTTATTTGTTAAATTAATTAGCTTTCTTTTTTCTTTTTCTGACTATTCTTTCGTTCAAAAAACAATAGCAATTGTGAAAATTGCTTATTGTTTAATCGTTGATTATCATGCATATATTATTAGCTTAAATAAAATTAATTTAATTAATCCAATTTTTTATCAACTAAGAAAATTTTTCAAATTTTACTAATTTCTATCAAATTATCCCTCAATACATTTAACTAGAAAAAGAAAAAGCTAAAGAATGAGATATAAAGTTTGAATGTAAAATTTTACACAAAATAAGATTTAAATTTCAAACTGGATTTTAATAAACAACATAAAGTATTTGTTGTAAAGAGATTAATTATCGCACATTAATTAATTTTAAAGCGTATCTAATTGGTGAAAAAGCAAGTCCTATAAAAATTAAACAATATTTATACACTAAAATTTCCTTTAAATTTTGATTTTTCAAAGAAATGAGAAAAAAAATTTAATTTTTTTTCTTTGTTTCATAGAAATTTTCACAATTTATTATTCGTTTTAATCACTACTTATAATAACAGTAAAAATAATTTTTCTTTCCTTAACAATAACAAATATATTAACGTGATTCAAATTTATTTCTACATGTATATATTAATGCAAGAATTATTTGTGTATGAAAATATTTATAACTTCTTAAATTACAATTAATTTTTAATAAAATATTTTGAAATTTTGAAGTATCGAATTAAGTAATATATATAATTTTTTTTTTTACCATGACAGATAAAAAAAAACTTATGGTAAATTTATCCGCAAATCTACGAACTTTCTTCTTTCTCTTAAATATCAACATTAAAAATTACAAAATCCTTCTTCCTTCCTTTTTTATTCTTATTTCAGTATATTAAGAAAAATAAAAAGATTTTTTGAGCAATAAAATAAATTTAATTATCCTATTCAATTCCAACATTTTCTAGGCAATTTTTATTGCAACAAAATTGTAGAATACTAATCCAATTTAAAATTGTGCTAATTTAATGAAAAAGGAAAATTTTTAAAGGAAAAATTTTCAAATTATATGACAAATTTTATCAAAGATAAAAAACGAAGTATTTGGCATTTATAAAATTTATTTGCTAACATTTATATCACTATTAAATATCAACACAATTCATAGGAGTCATATGGTGGGAGTAATATTTTCAGATTAGATTCATCAATTTTATGGGTTTCTTATTGGCAAGTTTTTCATATACGGAAAATTTTTGAAAAATATGTTAGGATTGTCTAAATTAATTATCCTGACTAGTTAAATTCGACTTCAGTCCTTTCTTTTTTTTTTTGTTTTTGTTGTTGCGAAGACTTTCATATAGTTTCATATATAATAATTTCATATGAAAAGATGACAAAAGTATAATTTAAATTGATAATAATTTCAAAAAAAGAGAAAACTTATGTACTATTGCAACTCAGTTAATATAAATAGTAAACTATAAACGTAGGATTTATATCATTTTATTATATTATTAAACATATACAATTATTTCTAGTTCAAAAACAATTATCATTTTCAAAAGAAATAATTTGAAAAATTTTCCATAGTGTTTGCTTTTTCTTTTTTTTTTCATGGAATTATTACACACCAATCTGGTAATTTCATCGAATCATTCCAAATGTGTATACTGCGTTTGTGTGTAAAAATGATAATCCATGAAAAAAAAAAAAAAGAACGATTTCAACTTTAACTGGTAAATGGAAATCAATAGGAAGACATTATTCCTAAAAACCAAAAAAAATTTTTCGCCACTTCATCTTCTTTTCTTCTCATTTTAGATGATTTAATTTTGAACATTTTTGTTGTTTCAAATTTCGTTTTCCAAAATAAATAAAAAAAAATTGAAATAATATTTGATACGGAAAAAACGGAAGGATTTTGTTCATAGTTTTTGCTTGATCAGATGGAGGGAAATAGATTAAATTACACTTCCTAAATCTAAACCTAAGGTTGAAAGAAAAATTAGCATTTTTACAATATAAGCACTTAAATTGCTCTTTAAAGCTTATGCGAACTTTAAATTTATATTAGATTAAAGTTTAAAACGAATGAAAACTCAAATTAAATTCTTAAAATATATACAAATATATTGGAATAATTTATGGAGAAAAAGATGTGAATATTTGAAGAGAGAAAAAAAAGCAATAACCTTTCGGATTTTTTGATCATTGAAACGGGCATGTTTTGCCATATTTTCTGCCATTATTTGCTGTACTTTTAGTGAATCTGCCAGAATATATTACAATTTTAGGAATTAAACACTGCAGCTTAAATTTTGTCTTTTTTTTTTCAAAAAAAAAATGTTTCGAACAGTTGCTTCTTCTTTCAGTTTAGATTTCAACAGATGCTTGTTGTATATGAAAATATCGCTAAAATAATTTCAAATGCCTTCAGGCAAAATTAATTGGTCTTATATTGAAATGGACGAAGGATTATATTCAAAATGATTTTATTTTTACATTCCAGTAAATTAAATGTATTATTATTCTGCCTAAGAGCGAAAATTTACTTTCAAATAAAATTATCACTAAACTATTAATTGCTATGAAATTTCAAAGAATAATTCTATTTAAGAAGCTAATACCAGAAGCATTTAGACGATTTTTTTTTTAAACTTATTAAAAATGCATTAAATTAACATAAAAATGTATGAATTGTTTAAGACGATGAAATATCAGTACTAGTATTAACAACAAAAAAAAAAGAGGAAAATCTTTTTAAAAAATTGAAAATGAAATTTTCAATTGGTTCAAAAAAAACTATTATGATGGCAATATATATATATATATATATATATATATAAAGAATGTTTGATTATGAATGCCAGTAGTGCATAAGTGATGAAAAAAAGAGAGAAAAGAAAATGATGAAATAAAAATAGAAAAATAGGATGAAATAAAAACAAAACAGCCTGACTGTTTGCTATTATTTTCAGTTCATTGTTTAATATAATAAATGAAAAAAAAAAAAAAAAGAACTTTTGGTATTGATGAATGAATACAAATAATAAAAATGAAAGATCGATGAAATTAATTTAATTTAATTTAAATGATCATCTATGCTTTCTATGTCTACAATATTTTCCATTCCTATGTGTTTTAAATATCTCAAAAATTAATGCTACTATAACATACCATCATAGCATCATTATCATTATTATCATCGGCTTCAAAAATGTTATCGATGAAAAGAAGTGGGGAAGCTGTTGGAATAGTAGTATGAAAGGGAGTAGGATGGGTTTAACTCTCAATCAATCATTAAACGATGAAACAATATTTTGAACATATTAAATAGAAATAAAAAGTTGAATGATATATTAATTAATGATAGAAAAAGATTTTTCTCAATCAAAACTGATAAAAAGAATTAGCTTAATTATTTTTTTTTCTTCCTTATTTCCTGTTGATTTTATCATATTAATCATATCAGAATTATTGAAAATTATTACTGGAAAAATTGGAAATGATAATAGTTAATGTTGCAAATACATTGAAACGAAAATGAAAAAATAAAAATGCTCACAACGATGTACACATCATATCCTTCTTCATCAACAATAATATACAATGATGATAACTGATTATAGAAGATGAATGATTAGTGATAATTTGGTCATTTCAATGATAACTGAGCGCGGGTGATGAATGAATGAATGAATGATATAGAGTGACCATAAGGCATAATAATGAGTTGCTCTTTCTGTTTCATTAGTCGATAAAATTTCAGATTTCAATTCCGGTTGAAATTTTAGATTGATAGTACAATAATTGTTCCTTTTCCTTTATTATCACTTATTGTTGATATGTTATTGCTTCTTATCGATATAAATAATTATCAATACCTTTTTTTCTTTCATCTAATTCTTCTTGAAAAATATTTGCTTAAAAACTGATAATTTCTATATCAAGCATCATTTATTTTCAAAATTTATCGAGAAAATATGTGTGGTGTTAAAATACATAGAATAGCAAATTCAAACGATAACGACAAAAAAAAAAAAAATGACAGCAATCGAAATCTTAAAGTATTTGTAAAAAAAAATTCAATGATAGTAATACAAAATAATATCTTGATAGTCAAGCAGTAAGAAAAATGAAGAAAAAGCTATCGAGCTAACATAGCAAAGAAATATTACATGTAAAACCCATCCATATATGTAATTCTTGCACGTAAATGCACGTAAAATCCACACATGCGTACCCTCAATCCTTCCATAATGCACGTAAAACCCACCATGCGTACCCCCAATCTTTCCATAATGCACGTAAAACCCACCATGCGTACCCCCAATTTTTCCATAATGCATGTAAAACCCACATATGCCCATCCCCAATTCTTTCGTAATGCACGTAAGACCCGTATATGCATGCATTTAATTTCTATGTATTCCTTTATATTTCATATATTGTCTGAGACAATTAAAATTGCTAATTCTATCGAATGAACCACCCCAAAAAAAAAAGACAAAATTCAAACTTAAAAAAAATATTAAAAAAAAAAAACAATACCTTAAAAATGTGTTGAAGACATAGATGATAATGATGACAAGACAGAAAGAGAACATTATCATGAATAATAGTAATAATGTGGACAATAATGACAACAATGATAAAAATAGATTAGTGACGGTAACGACAATTAGATGATTTAAATGACGATTATAAATAACAGCGATGAATTTGTTGTTGATAACGGCAACGAGAACACAGCTCAATGAAAATAGTAGTAAGGAAATAGTATTGCTGATGACTGCAACAATCTAATAATTATTAACAATAATAATGAATAATAATGGTAATAATTAATAATAATAACAATAATAATAATAAATATAATTAATAATAATAGTAACAGTAACAATAATAATAATAACAACAATAATAATGATAATAATAATAATAATAATAATAATAATAATAATAATAACAGTAGTAATAATGATAATAATTATAATAAAAATTATAATGATATAGGAATAATAATTTCCTATGAATAATAATTATAATAATAATAATTTAATGATGATAATAGAAGCAAATTATAATCTTCCTGATAATTAAGATTACGGAATTTGATTTAATAATTTTTTGCAATGTTCTTAACTTTTTTAAATCATATTATTACCATTAATTTTTTTTATAATAATGACTACCATTATGTATGACCAAGCTTCATACATTTGTTATAGTATTGTACACTTCGTCTCATCAAGGTCATCCACAAGACTAATCGTGTTCTTCCTATCAAGACTGACAGATCTTACAATAAATTCACTTCTGGATGCATTTGTAATAATGATGTCAACTTCACAAGGAAATAACCTTTAAATAGTTCGAAACAATTTCTCATTTGGAATAGTTAATTGAGCATATAATCATCATTCATTTTCATTTAGTAAAATGCAACAATTCTCAGTTGCGAATTTAAAATTTTAATATGAAATTTGATTAATTCTCGTGATAGTTTTCATAACTTTAAATTATTGCGTTTTAATTTTAATTTTAACTAATCTTATCTTCGAAATTACTAGCAAATGCGTTAACAGTGAAAAAAAAATAAAAAATTTATTTTATAATCATAGAAACTTCATTATTTTAACATGAAAAACACTCTCTGTAATATAATATTTATATTTACACTAATCTTTAAATATAATTAAATTTTATAGTACTACCATCAAAAATGATACACTTAGACGCAATTAAAAATGATAAGCTGCAAATAGCAAATGTGTCATTGTCATTTTTTTTATTTCATTTTTCAATCATTGTTAACAAAATGCATCTGATTCATGAATTTTGTTTGTAAAATTGATTAAAAGTAAAATGAGAAAAAGAAAAAAAAACTAGCAAAACATAATATTGCTTTTAAGATTAATATTCGTCACAAAAATTATTCAAAAAAACAAGAAAAAAACGAAAACTATTTTATAGAAGGGAAAAAAATCATTTAAATGATGTGAAAATATTTAAGATATTATTTAGGTCTATGAAAAAGGCCACACCATTTATCATAGTGATGAAATCGATAAATAAGCTAAGAGATTATTATTTGAAACTATTATCAAATGTCTATAAGGTAAGATTTCTATAAGATTATTTGCAGCAAGCAGATCAAATAAATTAAATTATACTAATTGGTTAATATTATTTAGCAATATGAATATAAAGTAAGAGAGAGAGAGAGAGAGAGCGAAAGAAAAAAAGCGAGAAAATGAGGAAAAAACTAACAAAAATTGTTATATAAAATAAAATTAAGCATTCATATTAATTTAAAAGAAAAAAAAAACTGAAGAAAAAAAAACGAGGAAAAAAAAGAAGGAAACAGTTTTTTTTTTCTTATCAAAAAAAAATTAATTTAAGCTAAGAATGAGTTAAAGAAAAAGAAATTAAAAAAAGTTTAAGCTAAAGAAAGTTAAAGCTTTCAAAAAAAAAAAAAAAAAAAATGTGAAGATAACGATATTCATAAGTTAAAAAATCGCATTATTTCTTAAAACTAATCGAATAATGCTATCCTTTACAATTTTTTTTCCACATTATTTTTCATTTTGTTGAATTATTTAAATTAAAAATGATACATGTGACATCAGAGAAGGATAGAAAAATTAATTGAGCATTCATTTGGTTTAGTATTATAGGAAAATAAATGAGAAATTAGTTAAATTATGCATCGCATTTTTTTCTGTCCTTTCCCACAAATATTTTAATTTTTTCCTTCACAAAATTGGCAAATTCTCAGTTTCAGAAATTATTTCGCATTTTCTTTCCTTTTTTTTTTCTTGATGAATAAAAAGTAGGCGTAAAATTTAATTTATTTGTCAAAATTTTCCATTGAAAATAAATTAAATTTGTGTAAAAATGAGGAGAAACATTTTTTTTTTAAAAAAAAGAAAGAAAAAAGAACGAAATAGGATTTTCTTTATTTAAAAATTAAAAAAAAAAGCAGAATAAATGTTTAAGTCAATTATTTCAAGATGATTGATTATATAATCTAATATGGAAATAAAGCAAAATTCAGAAAATATTTAATTAAGAAAAAATTACAAATTGTAAACATAACAGATAGTAATTAATTAAACAATAAATAATTGTGTGAAAATAAATTCGAATCGATCATTTCATGCAAAATGATGTATCAAATACATGAAAAGTCTCAGATAAATTGAAATAAATTATTTGAATGAATGACAAAAAATAATTTTTTTAAATTTTCAGAGTTGATGGAAAATTTGACAAAAAAAAATTTTTTGCTAAGAATTAATATTTTATTTTGATTGAATGAAATATTTTGATCACTGATTTTCGTAATGCTTATCAAATTCAATGTTAGCATTTAGTTTCCTGAATAGAATTCAGTAAAACTATTTCAATTAATGGTTTTGAAAAATATTTTACATCGTTCACTTTAATCATTTATCAGATAACCCTATCATCTTCTTTTGAAAGTTTTGAGAAAAGAATTTTTAATTCTATTTTAAAAGCTTTAAACAAAGAAATTTAAATTTTATCAAGTTTAATTACAAAAATTTATTCCTTCAATTAACATAGAATTTGTTGTTGAAGACTTTTGATATATTGAGGACACAATTTTTGTAATCCTGAAAAATTTGTTGAAAAGTTAACAATCACAGATTTATTAGGTCAGATAAATAGAAATAAGTAAGCAGTTGAAATTAATTTATTGAAATCATTTTTACAACTTTTCTTATTCTTTTAACAAAACTTTCAATTCCAAGCTATTAGCATTAATATTACATTAGCATTAATGTGCTATGACTGAATTTGATGATTAAAATAAAGTATAAAAAAGTTTATCATAAAGTCATTATTGCATGATTATATGAATACATCTTCAACAATGATTCATTTTTTTGATATTTTATTGCTTACATTAAATTGATATTAAATTTACGTCAAAATATCCAACTACACTTAATTTATATGAAATATACGTTAAATTTTGAAATTTCACAAAGACGTAAAGCTTGCATCTTAATTCTTAACAAAATTTTTAAAATAGTTTGATGCTCTAACAAAAGTTTATTTTGATATTATTTATAGATTTTGATTTTATACTGCTAATCTTGAAACTAACTAAAATTTCTAATCATCACAAAAGATATTAATAGGACTATTGCAAAAGAAAAAATTTTTTTTATTTAAACATTTTTAGAAACTAATTTTTAAAAGTTTAAATAAAATTGCAATTAATTCTGCAAAAGCATTTTAGTTTATTTTTTTCATTTATTTTATCTCATTCCATTTAAATAATTCGCCTATTTTCATCAAAAATTTTCAGTAATTAATTGTTTTAAAGGCAACAAAATAATATTATCTTAATTACAAACCACAAAGAGAGAAAATCGTTCTAATAATTTATGAAAAACAAAAAATTAAAAAGTGACAATGTTGAAAAAATATTTAATTACAGTAAATTGTAAATATTTTTATAATTAATTTCAATTGCTAAAAAAAAAATTCATCCAAATCCATTTGTAAACATAAATGCTCAACACTTTGTGTATTATTTCAATTTCATCTTTTTCACTTCCTGTTCATCCTCCTTGCGTTTTGTTTTTTCAACCAATCAATTCACATTTATCGATTGCGAGGACATACAATGCGGTGAAACACAACAACCAAAGGTAGTGACAACAACGCCAACCGCAACAACTACGCAACACCACGGACGCTTACGCCATTTTATCCAATGATTGTGATAATTATTAATTACAGCCCTATCATCGCCGTTATCATCATCGTCATCATTATCATCATCGTTGTAATTAATCGTCAGTTATTCTCATTTGCATTTGCATTAGCATCAACAGCTATTAGCAACTGAGACAAATTATTATTTTCGAATTTTTTCTGCTAATTTTTACTTTATTTCAGTAAGAAAGATTGCGTGTTGATTAATTATGACAGAGATAATAATACTGATGGTAATAATGATGATAATAAGATTAGTAGTAATGGTGATGATAATGATAATAACAATGGTAACGACATGATGGCATGATGATATTAATAGCAGTAATAATAATGACGATAGTGATATGATAGTGTTGATGACGATAACAATAATAACAATATTGGCAATGATAATGATGACAATAACGGAGATGATAATGATGGTAGTATTATGATGTAAGAGTGATGATAATATTAATGAAAAAATGGTGATAATACTGATGATTAATGGTAATAATGTTGATAATGATGTGATATCATGTTCATAATGATGACTAGTGATGTGATAATGATAGTAACGATAATGGTAATGATAAAAATAATGAGAATGGTAATGATAGTGATTATGATAATAATAATGATGATAATAATAATGATTATGATGTTGGTGACAGA